TACCTGCGGCTCATGCGGTTGGACAAGCCCATTGGTGAGTGTGGCGGACCGGCGCGCGGCGCGGGATGTCCAGGGGATGCAGCCTTAAAGGAAATAAAGCCCGAAAGGCGGAGCTTCGCCGCCAGGCGCAGGATAGTTTCGAGACACCTGCGAAGTGACCTGCCGGCCTTCACGCCCCTTCGAATCTTGAGCCGGGCAGTAAATTCTCTCGTTCCACACTCCTTGTTTAAGTAGTGAATCGAGCAGAAATGCCGTGCTCGTGTCCCTGCATTTGCACAGATTTACAGTATTGAAGCACTTATACTTTCATTATGTTTGATCTTTTCCATAATCCTGTAAGGCTGTCAAATCACATAAGATTGTAAAGACGCTGAGGAAACAAACTAAAGCTCTTCGGCAGAGCCAGACCTGATGAACCTAGTGTTTTGATGCTGAATTCTAGCTCTTTGCCCTGCACCACTGGTACCACCGCAGCACGTACAGCACTTATGGACTGCCTTATCTGCTCACAGTCGCCTCCTGAGGATTTCCCCCACCTTCCTATTTAAACTATCACCTACCACCTCACTCTCTATCCCTACACCCCTCGCCCCGCATTTTATTCATAGCACTCTCCACTAACTAACCTTATGCATTTATTGGTTAATTGACTTCTCTAATACAGTATAAGCTTCACATATATGACATATTTCTTTCTAGTGCCTAGAACAGAGCCTACCAGTAGTAATAGATGTGTTAATAAATTCCTACAACATCACGTGACTAGCCTTAGGGCTAGAGCTATGGAAACTCCCTGCTCTCAAAGAACTCCCAGTCTAGTTAAAAAGCTGATACAAGTGATCCAGATAGTATAGCGGGAAAGATAAAAAAAATTCATTGATGGAAAAAGTCAAGAAGAAAGTGTAACTCAAGGACAGGTAGATTTCGCAGAGGAGGGAAGAGATCTTGATTGATGGGGGAAACATTTTTGCAGAGATCCTAAGGTAAAGTGTTAGAATACTAAGAATATAAGCTGATCTGGAACCCCATGTCAGTGTAGAAGTAGTGGGCGTTCAGGCTCCTTGCAGGACACTGACCAGTGCCCGTCCTTGGCCTGGGGCTTAGGGACCCCTGACGATGACATTTGCCGTTGCAATGCATAGAAATGCAGTCACATGCATAAATTTTCTCCACCGTTTTCCAGCTAAAATCCCAAATTAGGCCTTGTTTTTGGCACTCTAGGTTTATGCACTACTTATTTGGGATCAGAGCACTAAGAGTTTATAACAATTAACAATTAAAGTATAAAAGCAAAATAAATAATAGGGACAGCCCTGCTATCATGACCCCTTACATGTGGGCGCCAGATACGAGTTGATAGGCATAAATTTCCAAGCCCAGTTCTAATCTGAAGCCTAACTATAATTATGTTCTTAGGGTCTGTGTCATGGAGCTGCAGTGCAGGCTTCCAGGCCATACAGCAGGATCAACAGCTGCTGTAATTCTCATTTCCATAAAACTCTGGCTTCTACTTCAGTGGTTAGACCACCCACCACCTAATAAGAGGCTATATAGGAGTTACACGTAAAGCTCTCAAGCCAAACCTTTTAGTTTGAATCTTCACTTTGCCCACTTGAGAGACCTCAATTAAGTTACTTTACCTCTCTGGGCCTTCATTTCTCATCTATGAAATGAAGATACTAATAATACTGACCTTTATAAAGTTGTCTTGAGAATTCATTAACATATATCAAGTCTTTAGAACAGTGCCTGACATAATAACTACTCAAGAAAGTTAGCCCTTATTCCTTGAGAAGTAGAAATTGGATAAGATTGGGTAATAGTTACTATGTATGTTAAGAAGATACCAGCCTGCTGTGCTTTGATTCTAAATCAGGTGATGATTACAGGATTTTTAAGACAACTTATTAATGTTCTGTGTTACAGATCATTTAACAAACATTTTTTGAGCCCCTATGTATGCCAGGAACAATAAAATGACAGTAGTGTAATCCAGGTTTGATATTTCTTTATTTAAATTCTTTTGTGGGGTAATTTTATATTCATTGTTTTACTTTGTTGAAGTTTAATCTTACTATCTTCATAAACCAAAGTGTATTTCATTGTTTTTCAGAATGGATTACAATTTATTTCAAACGGGTAACAAACTGTTATTTCAGGAAGTTTCAGTAGGTGGCCCTCTTTCCACTAAATTGGTGGTATAATTTTTTTGTTTTACTGCATTTATGGGTAAAATTTATGTTGTCTTAAAGATAGTGTGTAATTATTGAATGACTCTTAGACTCCATTTACTCAGCCTCTTTGCTCTGCCCATCACCTGTCCTAACTTGCTCGTTTTCTTTAATCTCTCCCTCAGAATTTTTCTTTTTTCTACAATAAACATTTCTTTATAAAACCTGTCTGTATCCTCACCACTTCTGCATCTTTCTTCATAGAAGAAGACATAAAGAAACTGTCATAGGGAAGACAGAAAAACATGTTGCTGAGAATCAGGAAGGAAAAGAACAATAAGAATTTAAGGATATATAGAGATTTGGGTATAGAGAGTGATAGCATTGGCCTTAGGACATAGATTGGAGCCAGACTGCCTGGATTTGAATTCCAGCTATGCCACATTTTACCTGTATGGCCTTGGGCAGATTACTTTCTCTATGCTTCAGTTTCTGTATTTGTTAAATGGCTATAATAAAAATAATGCCTATGTCATAAAAGTGTTGTGAGAGTCAAAAGTGTTATATGACAACACCTGGCATATGGTGCTATATATTTGTTGTTATTGTTTTCGTTTTCATCATCACCAGTATCATCTTTTCATAACAACTCTGAAAATTAGATATTCTTTTCTCTCATTTATAAATGAGGAAGGATGAGCCTTAAATTTAATATTCTTTAGTGTCTGGTGTTACTCCACTTACTAGTGGCCGACATCAAACCAGACATCTAACTTCCCCTTCATTAGAGGAACCCTTCTCTTCTGTAGGGTCACCCTACATATTCCTATTAGTAAGTGAATACACCACCTGTAATTCAGACTTAAGGCCAAGAAAATTTTGTTCCTGACATAAAATGCTTACACATCTTTTTTCTAGAATTTTTTTTAAAATGGAACCTTCTGTTATGACCACACCAGGAAAATAATGCCTGTGAAGCCATGGTCTTTCTTTTCTATTGGGGCAGGATCAAGCTACTCCTCTGTCCCTCTGAGTTATAAGGAAGTAGTTAAATCCATTGTTTTACTTAATCTCTGTATATCTGTTGCCTCAATTGTAAAATAGGAATAATAATAGTGCCTACTTTATGAGGATGTTTTTAGGATTAAATTACATATAAGTTATTTACAGCACTTGACATTTCACAATCATTCAGTAAATGTTAGTCTCAGTTTTGTCATGTGTTTCTGACTGTGTTTTTTACTTCTTTGGGATGTGGTGTTTAAACAAATGAAAACAATTAATTAACTTGAATTTGTACCTTTTTTGTCTTTTTATTTTTCCTTAGGAACCTGGCTGCTGTATCTGCCATGTACCTGGAGCATTGCCTTGGCAGCTGAACCAGGTTGTTTTCCAGATTGGTACCTGTTATCCCTGTTTGGCACTGGAGCTGTTCTTATGCGTGGAGCAGGCTGTACTATTAATGATATGTGGGACCAGAACTATGATAAAAAGGTGATTTTGTCTTGGAAAGGAGCAGAGAGGTTCCTTTCAATCCTGCAGAGTAACATGGTGACATTACTTTTGATTGCCACATAAAGCAATAGGATCCTTTAGTATCCTCACTGAAATCCAGCATAAGAATTGCTGATACCAGTTGAATAGCATGTGTTACAAAGTACACTGTACTTTCTTTCTCAACACAAGAGCAGCCATGGAGGCAAGGCGTGTACTTCATTTTTACAAAATGAACTAGGATTTAGAATGCTGGGGTAAGGATATTAGGAGTGAAGTTAAAAATTTCATCTGAACCTTTGGATGTCTGAAAGAACTGCCACCCCTTCCTTTCAGATATATATACTGGAGCTGTACTATTCATATTTAAATCAAATCTTAATGTAAATGAACCAAGGCACTTCTATTATCATTTGCTATAATTATTTCTTTTTTAAAAAACTTATACTTCTCCTTGGAAAAATAATACATTTTTATTCTGAAAACTTCATACAGTACAGAAATAGAAAGGATAGGAAGTACAAGTACTCCTTATCACTCCAGTCCTCCAGAGAAAACTTCAATTAAAGTTTGATGCATTATGTTCCTCTGGATTACTTCCTATGCATATTCTAACATATGTGTATAATTAATTCTTTGTTCCTCAATAGACTTGTCATTTTCTCAAGGGAGAGGTCCATCTCATTTTCCTTTTATCCTAGCAGCCACGCTATAACAAGTACAAGATCATTAAGATCATTAAATGCTTGAGTAAATAATCAAGTAAACTTTCAATTTAAAAGAAAGCCATGGGGAACTATATAAAGTAAATAATCATATATATACTATATAAAGTAGATAATCATCTCTAGTTTGCCTTTCACATGTGTGAATTTCCCTTAAAGAAGGCACACCTATAATCATTTTTAGTTTATAGAACAGTATCATATTAATATATTTTTTAAATTCATAAAAACATTTGTTGACTACTTGCTGTGTGTGAGACACAGTGACAGGTTCTAGGAATGCAAAGGTGAAAGACACCATCTCTGACCTTATGCTTTCGTAGTTGTGATACAAGCAGCACTGTCATGAGAATGGTGTTCACAAAGAGGACTTAACAAAGAGCACCTACCTGAGCCTATGGGAGAAGGTCAGAACTTTGAACTGTGGCAGAATAAGGTGGCAAGAAAAGGGTGGGCTGGAGGATGAAGGTCTGTTTGGGCAGAGTGAATAGCAGATACAGAAGCATGGCTGTGAGATAAAGTATATTATGCTTGACGACTGCAACCATGGGGTTTACTTGCGTCTGGAGAATAGGTTAGTGGAAAGGTGGCAGGAACTGATAAAGGCCTCTCTATGCCCCACTGAAACAGGTGGGATGCCTTGATCCATGCCAGAAGATGCATACTTTTTTGATTTTTGGGTTCACACATCCTGGTAAGTTTTTCATTCTGCATTACTGTGTGAATGAGGCTTCTGGCATATTTCATTTCAAAATAATGCTTGAACATGTTTAGAGCAACTAATGCCTACATCCTGGTTGTCATATTTTACTATAAAGTTTTGCAAGATGTTGCCCTTAGGGGAACTTGGTATAGGGTACGTGGGATCTCTGTATTTTCTAAAATACAGAGATTAAAAAACAACCGCGTGCAAATCTACAGTTGCCTCAAAAGGAAAAGTTTATCTAAAAAAATAACATTCAAACCAACCAACTTTTTCTAATTTTTTAATTAACAAAATATGACCATTTTAGTTCCCCCCTAAGTGATTTTTTTCTCCCTAGATCAAAGGGAACTGATTATATATATACCTTACATCTCTCCCAGGATATTTTTCTCTGATTAGAAGAATCTAGATTCTATATTGCCATGCAACAGAGTACTTAAACGATTGTTTTAGAGTTATTGAGGTGGTTTTGCTAACACAAATTTTAAAGGATTATGTACATCTCTTTTAAAGGATAAGTTAAAAAGCTTGGCCAAATTGTAATGCTTACCTCACAGTTTCTTAAAGGTTGTATTTCATTAAGGACATGTTTATGGCTCAGGGTTTTAAGTGAATTGCTATTAGGGTATCTAGGTTAGGTGTGTTTTGTTGGCATCTATAATCTACTAGCCATCTGGTAAACATTAGGTTCATAAATATTGAAATAATCTCACGTAGGTTATATGTGAGATTGGTTTTGTAAGCTGTGAGCACTTTAATTTCATAAAAACTACAAGGATATGTACTGAAAGGTCGGTGTAGTCTTGTAGTTAGTAGTGTCGTCAGTGGGACTAGACTGACTTGCTACTGTGCTGTCTGTGACTTTGGAAAGTTACTGAACAAATATATATTATTTGTTCACATAAGTTTTCTAAAACTTAGAAATAGCAAGACCTTATGAGTGGTTAAAAGACAGGGTTGTTATGAGTATTCAAAAATGTGATGCATACGTATAGCTCGTAGAATAGTGGCACCTTAAACACTCAGATATTCGCTGGAATAATAATATCCTAAAACACATAGGAGAACATAAATATTATTTCCAATTAAAATTATAGTGACCAAATAAAAGGTAGACGATCCAGTTCTAGCAGTTAAACCAAAATAAGTCGTTATAGTTTGACAAACTGTTTTATTACAGAGTTAAGCATACTAAAAATTGGGTCAGCAGTTTTTTTCGTAGCGTTGGGTAATAAATATTTTAGGCTTTGTGGGCCAGAACGTCTTTGCTGCAACTGCTTGACTCTGTTGGAGCAGGAAAGCAGCCATACACAGTATATAAACAAATGGTGTGTCTCTTTTTTTAATAAATCTTTATTTTTGGACACTGAAATGTGAATTTCATATTTTCACGTGTCACAATACATTAATCTTTTTTAAAAATCAATATTCAACCATCTAAAAAAGTAGAAACCAACTTAGCTTATGGGCTGTATAAAAACAGGCAGTAGGCTAGATTTGGCTCACAAGGCGTAGTTTGCTGACCCTTGATACAAATTATACAAAAATATATTACTAATAGTTAACATTTATTGCATGCTTATATGCTTCAGATACTGCATTTACTCTGAGGTAGGTGATATTATCACCCCTCTTAGTTCTTCTCCTTCTCTGTTTTACCTTTAACAGGTAAGAAATAACCTAAGCCCAAGAGAAGTTAAGTAATTTGCCAAAATTCACACAGTGATGGAATTGGATTCAAATGCTGGACTCTCTGATCCCAGATCCTGAGTTCTTAACTTTTAGCAATATTGAAAATTTTGGTTATGTTCTTTATTTGTGGTTGAGTGTAGAGTAATCACATTTTGTGATCTCTTGAAAGGAAAAGAACAAATTAAGATATGTTATTTGTTCACACACTTACTCTGTTCATGTCCTTATAGTGGGTTTGCCCTTTATATTTGAGTGCAGCTAATATATGATAGCAGACCCATTCCTAAACAGCCTGGCAAAAGCACTCCCACTTTCAAACCTAGATAATCTGTCTTCTTTCTATTTTCACATCTGATTTCTGATTGCAGCACTTCCCATACTCAAAATAGTCACATGATATCAGCCTTATCTGACATGCACTGAAATTTTTTCTTTCCTGAGAATTCTCATTATTATTGTTCCTCTTTTCTCTCTGGAAATTGAGTATACTTGCTGAGTAGCTAAATAGCTAAGTAAAGAGTTGCTTTGTTTTGTGTGTTTGGAGATGGGAATGGGAAATGGAAAGAAAGGGGAATGAGTAGTAGGAATTTTTAGTTCTTTTCAAAGCTATTTTAATATCAATTTTTGATTCTTGGCAATACTTCCACTATTGATTTCACCTTTTATTCATATTTCTGCCTTAGTACTTATGATGGCCCAGTCTCTTGATGAAATGCTTAAATAAATGATTGATGTCTTATAAACTATATAAATGTCTAACCAGTGTACTGTATACTTGAAACTAATAAAAAAAAAAAAAAAAGTGAGCCATTACATGAGGCTAACGTATCTGTTTTTGTGTGTTAAGGTTGCAAGAACAGCAAATCGCCCAATAGCTGCTGGAAACATTTCAACTTTTCAGTCCTTTGTTTTTCTTGGAGGACAGCTGACCTTGGCACTAGGTGTTCTTCTGTGTCTGAATTACTACAGGTATATTAAATGTGTTCTTCATAATTATGTATAAAATCTCTCCTTTGAAATGGAAGAAGTAGGAATAAAATAAAATTGAAATATCTTTATCATGAAGTTGTTTATTGGCTGCCTATCGAGCATCTGTAAACTAGCAAGTATAAATCACCATACATTGTAAAATCAAGAATGCTTTCAACCAAAAGAATGAACAAATCAGCATGTAATTTATTCTGAACCACCATCAGTACTCATACTACATGTTCCTAAGGGACGCAAGGCACTTCATAGGTTTTTTAGGTGCATGCATGGATGTGTTTGTTTATATACTCGTATATGTAATTTTATTTATCCTGATAGAATCTCTGAAGTAGATAGAAGCAAAAGTGATTATACTCATTTTGCAAAAAAGAGAAACTGGGTCTTTCCCAGAGTCATGTTTCTAGTCATGACAGAAGAAAAAGTAAAAGGACTCATTCCTATATTTCTTAAACAGAGACAGAATTAAACTTCTGTGCATCAGATGGCTGTTTACAGAGTGCTTCAATAAGGCAAAAAAGAGGAGGTCAGCAAATAAGCATTACTTTATAGAGACTAGTCTTAAATATATACCTTGCCCTGCTATCATCAGTCACATAAAAACACTGGAAGGTTATTCCTGGAGGGATGGTGATAGGTGAGCTTTGATGAATATCTTATGTTATCATTTCTTTCATAAGGGTTTTGTGACCTTATCCTCTTCTAGAGAAATAACACCCCATTGTACGTCTAAGAAGGGATCTCTTGACTCTAATGATCTGTTCTGATATCTCAGTTTACTAGCAGTAGCATATGGTGGGTAAGCACAAGTTGGACTCTGGAGCCAGTTTGCCTTAGGTTTGAATCCTGGCCCTACTACAGACTAACTGTATTATGACAAGTTAATCTCTTTGTGCTTTAGTTTTCTCATATGCAAAAAACAAGTAGAATAAAACTATCTGCCTCTTAAGGTTGTGGTGATGATCATAATGAGTTAACATATATAAAATAGTTAGAACAGTGCCTAATACATAAAAACACTATATGTGTTAGCTGTTATTATCCATCCTTTATCCTAAACAAAGTCAAGATAATTTTACATAACAAAAAATAGAATTTTTAAGATAAATTATTTTCTCAATTAGTGTTACTATTGCTGTTTTAGTGATTTTTAATAGGTGATATATTAATCTTTTTAATGGTTTTTCTTGATTTCAGTATAGCTCTAGGAGCAGCATCCCTACTTCTTGTCATCACCTACCCACTAATGAAAAGAATTACATACTGGCCTCAGTTAGTTTTGGGTAAGCTTGAAATAACTTTAAGTACTTCCTTTGATACCCTCAAACTATACTTTTAGACATAATATCATACATATATATTTAATGTGGCAGAAATACAATGTCAAATTAATCATGAAATTTTCCACACCAAGAACAGATTTTCATATTTTAAAGGACAATTAACTATTTCTTTTGGCTAAAAAGTCTTGCTTATTTATTAAGATTGTCATTTTTTTCTGAAATGTTCTTTTAAAAATCTAGGTATGTTATGAAGAAAAAAATTAGCTGCCTCGACTCTACCCCTCTCTTTAGGTAGTTGATCTAGACACTCTGAAGACTTTGGGGATTGGAGTAGAAAGCACTCTGAGCTGGAGAACGAGAGTTAGTGTGTATGATGGCTTAGCCGGCTTCGCAGGACTCCCCTCTTGTAAAACTTTCTTTCGACTTCCCAGGAAAAAGTTATAGCAAATGGGCCCCCACAGCACTCTGATGTGGCACTTACTCATTTCAACAGCATTAATTCAACATGAAGATATTGAGAGCCACCTCTGTCTCCCCATTAATAAATTGTAAATTCCTAAAAGATAAAGCATTCTTTACATATGGATGGCTCAGCATCTAACAGCACTTGATAAATCACAGGAATTCAATAAAAGTTCATTAGTAGAAAGAGAGGAAGATTAGTAGGTAGGTAAGTCAAAATCAATTGGAAAAATACCTACTAGTCTTTTCTGTTCTATTCCTTGAATAATCTAGAGTGTTCTTAAAACTATTCTAGTTCTTTGAACTACCCCCCCCCCCACAGTAAATAAAAGAACCAAAAGACACTCCAAGAAATTGATGTGAGCCTGATGTGGAAAGTTGTTGTGGAATATTTATCTTTTTGTAGGATCTTCTCATTCAATGTTGTGTTTCTTTTTATTATTTAAAAAAATAGGACATTATAGTCTCAACTGACCTGGGACTCTTTTGATAAAAGGATAAGCATTTCCTATTTATAAGATAATATTAAGAAAGCTGGTATATTTACTTCAAATATTTACTGAACCCCTGACTTTTACTTTGTGCCAGGAATCACATCATGTGCTAAGAAAATTAAATTGACTAAAACACATTCACTCTCTTGAAGGAGCTAGAGAAGACAACAGATAAACAGGCCGTTACAGTACATTATACTGGCATGCATGAGTGCTGTGGGAACACAAAAGGGAGGCCCATCATCAACTGAGGAGGGATTCTGAATGGAAATAGGTAACAGAGGTGGAGAGAAGACATTTGGGAACCATTGAGTGGAAATAGGTAACAAAGGTGGAGAGAGGACGTTTGGAACCCATTGTGTTTGAGGTACCTGAGGGACTTGCAGGTAGAGGTGCCCAGCAGACAGTTCAGTATCGAGTCTGAAGCTCAGGGAAGTGATCCAGCTTGTACGGAGAGGCTTAGGAGTTGTCAGCATGTAGATGTTTACAGTCCTCAGGGAGGTTGGGATTGTGGAATAAATAAGGATTCCTGCCTATACTCTTGTTTCTGTAGTTTATAGGGAAAGTAGAATGCTAATGGAAAGACCACAAGACTTTTGACTTCAGGTCTCAATTTAGACCCCAGCATCTACTATTCATTGGCTATGCCAGGCATCGTACTAGGTAGGATAAATGTTCTCATAAAATCTACTTATCAAGGGAATATCATCCTTTCTATTAGCTCTGTTATTTTAATTGTTAACCTCTCTGAATCTGTTTTCTTTTTTGTAAAATGTAGCTAATAACTATCACAGAGAGCTGAGAGAATTTAAAGAAGAAGCGTATTAGAAAATAACATACATAGAAGCACTTACTACATGCTAATGCCCCTTTCTTTCCCTTTGGAATTCTGAAGTACATTTAGACATTTCCTCTATCTGTTTCACTCATTGTAGGGTTGACTTTTAACTGGGGAGCATTACTTGGATGGTCTGCTGTCAAGGGCTCCTGTGACCCATCTGTTTGCCTGCCTCTTTATTTTTCTGGAATTATGTGGACTCTCATATATGATACTATCTATGCCCATCAGGTAAAGAAATATTTTTTTTTCTTAACTTTGGTGTAGTTGTTTTTTAAAAAACTTTAAGAACCTAATTAAAGGGAAAGTATTTTTTTTCTAAAAAGTAAATTATTTACACTTACATGACATCAACAAAGTATTTCTGTTTTTACCAAAAAGATCATCTCATTTATTTTATTTGTAATAATTTAAATAGTATTTACTATGTGCTAGGCACTGTATTAAATACCTTCCAAATACCAGTTTAATCCTCATAACAACCTGCGAGGAAAGTACTTTTATTATCCTCATTTTAACAGATGAGGAAAACAGGCATAGAAAAGTAATTTATCCGTGTCACACAGTTAGTGTGTGGCAGAACTGAATTTGAACCCATACAGTCTCCAGAGTCAGTGCTTTTAATTGCTGCCCTCCCTTGCCCTCTCCTGCCCTTCTGTTGATGCCTCTAATCATTGTACCAGCCAACGTTTTTTTTTTTTTTTTAGGTAGTATAAGTAATAAATGTTTTCCCATATTTTTATCTATTTTTTTTGTCATTATCAGTTTAAGACTGCATAATAATCCATTGATTTAATATGCCATAATTTTTAAAAAATTAACAATTTGTCTATTTTGGCCATTTAAGTTGTTTCTGAGTTTCTGCAATTATAAATGACATTGTTCTAATTACTAATGTCTTTATGACTGTGAGCTTTTTGGGTAAATTTTTAGGAGTGGTGTTACTTATTTAAAGGATATAAACATGTTTATAGCTTTCAATATTGCCTTTTTCATAAGTTTAATAAAAACTTTTTACTTTTCTTGATTTATGTTCTTAATTTTCTTTTATGTATATGAACTTTGAAAAAAAGGATTTTTTCTCAGTATTTTTCTGAAATATGATTGACTTCTCAATCATTTACTTAAAGAATATGTCATGATTTAATGAAATTTTTTTCTAATACTTCAGTCTGGATTTCATCTTGTTTTCTTTCTATTAACCTCTCTCCTCCACTACATTTATGTTATCATGAAAAAGTTTGCGAGTTCTATAATCAACCTGATTTCCTTAAATGAAACTTAACTAACAGTTTAGAAGAGATCCCTGTATTTTTTGCAGTCAGCTTTGGAACCAGTGGTCTAGATAACTGTACTCCAATTAGATTAACTTCTTCAGTAAAACACACATACTCTTTGACACTTTTGTGATCCACATAATTAAAAACACAGTTTGCACCCTTAAGGTGCTTGCAGTGTGAAAGGAAAAACATACACAAACCTCACACTCATTATAACTTGGATTTGGGACTTCAAACAATAGCTGTCTACCAGCAACTGGTTGCACAGTTCAGCATGCAGCCTCTGATATCACAGGACCATAATTACAACTAAAGCTGCTAGAGACCAGTCAGCTAGATGTGAGTGTATCAAAACCTAGCTCTACTTAAGCAGAAAGGATTCCATGGGAGAAGCAAGGAATAAATTGAGCTAGAAGTGAAATGTGAATGGATGTTGTTAGGTGATAAGTGAGCATTTTTCTACATCTGTGATTTTATTTTAGCAAGATTGAAACTAAAGTGTACAGGAAATTACTGAGATTTGAGAACTCTGTGGTAAGGAAGTGCTATGAAGAATTTGAGTTGTTTTACTTCTAATGTAGTAAAAGTATAGTTAACAGTTATTATAGGATTATAAGAAATACAGTGACATGTAGAAATAGAGCTGGAAGATAATTTTAGCAGTAACATTTAACTTTGATTTGGCCTGCACATCCATTACTGATCAACCTATGTTTCTGAGTTCACTGTCATCTTTAACAATTCATGGTCTATCTTTATGTTTACATATCAATGTTCTTTAAGAGACAGTTTCCTCTGGAATTAGATAATGGTGATGATTGCACAACTGTGTGAATATACTAAAACTATGAATTGTATACTTCAAAATGGTGAATTCTGTGGTTTTAATAAAAAACAATTTCTTATTTCCAACGTTAGGACAAGAAAGATGACACTCTGATTGGTGTTAAGTCCACGGCACTACGGTTTGGTGAAAACACCAAGCCATGGCTCAGTGGCTTTGGTGTGGCCATGCTGGGGGCGCTGAGCCTGGTGGGAGTGAACAGTGGTCAAACCATGCCCTACTACACTGCTCTGACTGCTGTCGGAGCCCATCTGGCTCACCAGGTTTGACCGTCTTATTTTTTCCCTCATTCTTCCTTGATATAAATTATATTATTTAAACAAAATGACCTCTATATTTACCAACCAAGGTACTTCTCAAAACAAACACTTGCCTTGAACTGTCTTACACTACCCCCTCCCCTGCCCCAACTTATCATATGAAAGAGCTAGCTATATTACTTTAGAGAAGTAACCTAAAACTAAACATATTTTTTTCTTCTGATTTTTTTGGAATTACTTCTGACTTATGTCTGGAAAAATTTCAGTAATGTCTGAAGGTTGTCGGTTGAGCTGAATTACTCTGAAAGCAACTGATAAACACAACTATATTTTTTAAATGCGGGTTTCTAGTAATGATTGGCAAAGTAATTATTCATAGTTTTGTGTCCCACTGGCATAGAGACCAAGACTAGATAAGTCATGAAATGCTGCCATGTCAGAGTTCTGCCTAGGAAACTCATTTCAGGATATGCCCCCCGCACCCTAGCACCTGCAAGCTTATATCATGAATCTACATTATTAACTTTTGTAAAATGAATGGACAAAATCTAATTTTAATTAAGTAGATTGCTAGTAAATAGACTTTTTGCATCAATGTTACCATTATTTTCTTTGAACACAATCCAATAGATGTTAGTGAACTTTTATTTAGATGACCTATTTGATACAGATTATTACAAGTTATCAGTGTAAACAAGACTTGCATAACATGGTGTGAAGAAACCAAAATCCGATGTCCATAAAGTAAACCCCATGCTCTGTCACCGTCATTGTTTAGCAAAGCTAAAAGGATTCTCCAGATTTCATCATTCTCCTCCTCAGAATTTATCAGCATCCCCTTTTGGTCATAACTCAGCTCAATGGGGTTGTTGTCATCAGTTGATTGTCTGGTCAGGATAATGGTGGTTTAGCAATATTTAAGCACCTGGATATTAGTGGACTAAGGCAAAAGTTTTGAGGACAATCACAAATATTATAAAAAATGTTTAGAACCCACTTTATATTCTCAGTTGGATTTGTGGTCCTCTCTCCAGTCTTTGACACAGTATTTTAAGATGGACATAGCCTTCCAGTGTTTGAAAAGACAGGAAATCATGATGATTTTAAGTCTGCAGGCCATGTAATAAAGAATAGTTGGAAAAATGCAGGATGCTGATGCTTAAGCCTAGAGAAGAGTAAGATGGGACATGAGACTTTCCTGATATATTTGCAGGACTACTGTGGAGGAAAAGGAGTATATTTGTCCTAGATTGCCAGCTGCAAATCTGGGTCGCTAGATTCCCTCCTCTATGTGGGGATAGGAGGGGGATTTACACATGTATGACAGTATTTTTGATTATCATAAGTGAACTAAAGGTCTTATTACAGGCATTTAGTGGGTGAGGGCCAGGTATATTAAATATCTTTCAACACGCCAGGCAAGCCTGTACAATAGAGTTGTCCTGCCCAAACGAGACTTGTTCTCCTGTTGAGAAACATTGCTCCAAAAAATAAAGCCAGAGCTGGAGGGTAGGAGTTGTAGAAAGTAGATTTTAGATCAGTCAGTGGAAGGAAGAGCTTCCTAAATAGAACTAAAAATTTCATGGGTTGCCTCTTAAAGTATTCATGCACCTTTCATGGGGAAATTTTTAGGACACAGCATAGATGATACCCAGTGAAAGAGAGATGGTAGATTTTTCTACATTGTGAAACTGTTTGGGGAACAAAAAGGGCTTCCCATTGCTTAAAATTCTATAACAGGGTGTTATTCTTTGTGTCGATGTGTTTATTTGTAAAGCTAAAAAAAGAGCGGGTACTCTACTCATGCAGCATTGTGTTTTTTTTACAGATTTACACTATAGACATCCACAGACCTGACGATTGTTGGAATAAATTTGCCTCCAACCGAACAGTAGGACTAATAGTTTTTTTAGGGATTGTCCTTGGAAACTTGTGGAAAGAAAAGAAGACAGATGAAACAAAGAAAAATAGAGTAGAAGATTAGCAAATGAAGTTTATCTAGGAATTTTTAAAACAAACTTTTACAAAACACTCTCAGGTTATGTTACTACATAATTAAATTTAAATAAGCAGTCTTACAATATGTTAAAGAATTAAGAACCAGAAGATGAAGACTTGCATATTTTGCCTGGATTTTAGTTCAAGTATTTGCTAGCAAAATTCTTCCCATGTCACAGAAACCAGAGGGACTCCCCGATATGAGATGACCTTGAGTATTTAAGTTGATGCATTCTTTTGTTCATTATAATTGTCATCTTTAGTTTTGGGAACTGTATGTATTTTGGCACTTTAGAAGAAACCAGACATGTATCTCATCTAAATAAATGTAGGAAAACACTCTTTTTAGGGAAAAAAAAAAAGCTGCTGCAAAAAGTTGAGGTTTATTCTTTATTGTGACCTTTATTCACTGCCAAAATCTATAATTCAGAAAATCATTGGTTTTCATTTTTTAGGGGAATTTGAGTAAAAAAATTATACATACTATATCCATACAGACTAGTGTTGTTACCAACCCTGACATTTATTTGGGAACTCCAGTCTGTGTGTAGCCACAGTGACCAGAATGGGTAGGCAGGCCATCACCAGGGATCTTTTTTTTTAATCTCATCTGATTGTAATTCATAAGATAGTGGCATATTAGTTAAGTGTACTGTTTCTTCTCTTGCCCCCTTCAGAATGTTCTCAACACAGCAGCCAGAGTGATTTTCTTAGAATCTATGTGAGGTCATGTCATTCCTCTGCTCATAACCCTCCCCAATCTTCCCAGGACACTTAGTACAAAGTAAAAGTCTTACCACCTACTAGGCTCTCCACGATCTGGCCTTATCTGTGACTACTCTTAACAACCTTCTCCAGCCCCACTTACCTCCTCACTGCCCCTCAACAGTCTTGGCAGATTCCTACCCCCAGGCCTTTGCATTTCCGGTCTGCTTTGCCTGGAATGCTCTCCTTGAATGATGTCTTAGTACTTTGCCACAGATTTTTTTTCCTAAATGTTACCTTCTCAAAGAGGCTTTTCTTAGCCACTGTTTCTAAAATTTGATATACAAATTCTACCTACACTTCATATTCTCTTGTTCTTGGTTTTTTTTTCTTCAGAACTTTACCTAAAATATATTTTACTTGATTTAAGTGGCTCTTAGGGAGAGTGGAGTATAAGGGAGGCAGACAATTGTGTATGTGGGTTGTGGGCAACACTACACACTAAATCCCATCATAATGATAATGATGGTGATTATGATGATGCAACTAATGGAGCACGTATATATGCCATGCACTGATAAATAGGCAGAGGAAAATGTACTTAACTGTTCGTTTATTCAGTAAATACTGACCCACTGAGCATGAGTGTTTAGACTTAAGACAGGAGAAGCAGCAATGAGTTGAAGACAAGAAATAGAAACATATCCCACTTTTAGGTATGTTTTATCTATCCTGATACAGTATCAGAATTATTTTATCAGGATAGATAATATTTTTATGTTGATTTCTGTTTTCTTACAAATATCCTATATATTTTTTCCTTTTGAAAAGATTTAGCAAAATCTATACCATTTTTCTAGAAAATACAGTAATAATAAAATATAGAGTTTAAACAGAAGAGTATCTTCAGTAACGAAGTGACAGGGAAAAAATCGAGCTTAGAAAAAGGTTATGCCCCTTTAAGGTATGCCATTTCTCATAAGAAAATGTTGATCTCTAAATGTCTTGGCATGGACTTTGGAAAACAATGCTGAACCTGATAACTGGAGCAGGAGCAGGGCCAAAGGGGGCACAGAGGCCTGGTGTTAGCACCCTCTACATTGTACTCTGAAGGAAGCCTTAAGGCAGAATTCCTTTCCTACTCGGAAAAGAGCTCCAGTGTCTAAAAGGGCAATGATTCTGTTGAGGAATGGCTAGAATTTGCCAAAATCTGCATAATCTGTTCACGATTGCTACATAATTTTCAGATCACCCTATATTTTAGAATGCTTAAGATCTAAACCCATTAGCACTGATTCCACTTATAGGAGAGTAAGTGCAATGTGTTTCAATTTTATTTCATTTTCTTAAGTTAGTTGATGAAAAGTTAATATGGAACAAATCTTAGAATTGGTAAAACTGCAGCCATTTGTGATAAATGGGGACAGGAGAATATAGTTAAAAATTTATACATTATCTTGCTCTCAAAAAGCTGCTAAAACTGAGATGAGTTAGTTCTCTTATTTTTCCTTCCTTCTCTCAGGTAGAAAGGCTGGAAAAGTGATATAAATGGGTATGGGGCAGATGGGGAAGAAAAGATGAAGTAGATTATTAGCCCCTAAAATCATGGACATAAAATAATTCAGGATTGCAAAGAAGTGCAGTCATCTATCGGATATCAGGGTTATCTATCTATGCATAACCATGAGGGGCACTGTAACAAAATGGGTGAAATCACTAGTTTCCTCTTGGGAAATTCGTTCAATGTAAAAGGCCCTTGCCCTATCTGCTTCAGTTACCCTGAAGTGGTAAAGAATTTTGTAAACAGTTACCTTGTAAAAATTCATGGTAGGGGTGGAGTTAGGGTGGGAGCTACGGGAAACCTGGCTACAGAACCTAAAAGTTACAACACAAGTGCTGCCTCTCCCTCTTCCTGGACTACTTTGCTAAATTGCTCCATCCTTCTTCCATATTGTAAAAGACTCTAGTCAGGCCACACACTACTATTTACCCCAAATCGACATATCCTCTTGCCCTTGGGCTGGTCCTTTTACTGTCGTAGGCCACACTCATACACCCCCGTCTTCCATCACAACTGTTAGGAGGGTGAGGGCCTGCCCTTTAGAACAGACAGGATTTCGTGTGAATCCTCCCTCAAACACCTGCCAACTGGGAGACAGGAAAGTGACAAACCGCTCTCAGCCACCATACTTTTATGTGCTAGATCTGAGCTATGCGAGCATTAAACAGTTGACATATGTTAAAGCCTATTATGGGCCGAATCGTATTGCCCCAAGATTCAGATATTGAAGTCCTAACCCCCAGTAGTAAATGTATTTGGCGATAAGGTCTTTTAGAGAGATTATTAAATTAAAATGAGGTCATTAGGGTGAGCCCTAATCCACCTCCTTACAAGAGGAAATCTGGACACACAAAGAGACACTAGATGCTTGTGCATGTGAGAGATGACTGCATGAAGGCATGGGAGAGGGTGGCCATCTGCAAGCCCAAGTGAGGGGCCTCAGAAAACCAAGCCTGCTGACGCCTCAGACTTCTGGCCTCCAGAACTGTGAGAAAATAAACGTTTTTCAAGCTACCCAGTCTGTGGTATTTTGTTGTGGCTGCCATAGCAAACTTAATGCAAACCCTACTACTGAACCTGGCACAGAAAAGTCACTCTACAAATAGGTTCATTTGAAAGCTCTTACTTTTCCACACCAATTCTACCTTTTTGTCCTAAAGCATAAATTTTAGCCCTTATAGTGTCTACAGCAGTGGTCAGCTAAATGAAACCCTCCATAGATGTCCATATCCTAATCCCCAGAACCAGTACATATGTTACCTTATATGGTAAAGGGGCTTTGCGGATGTGATCAAGAAAGATCTTGAGATAGGGAGGTTAGCCTGATTTATCTAGATGGCTCAGTCTAATCACAAGAGTTTATAAGAGGAGGCAAGAACATGGAAGCAAGAGGTTATTGTAGGAATTGACACCCGACAGAGGAATTCAGATGCTCAGACAACTTTGTCAGAGGAAAGAGAATTTATTAGGCCAGCGGAGCACATGGGGTTAACAACTCCATGCACGAGCTCGCTCTCGTTAGATTCATTTCAGTTTGTATACTTCTACAGTGTCCATGCAGGGGTACGTGATTCCTTTGTCTGAGGTTTCACATGTGCCTCCTTACTCAAGATGGGGAGGAGGAGCTTCGGGTGGGGGGCTGCAAGGGAGGAAGAATTTCCTGACCATTGGTCTTACAGGTCGTTTGTTTTGTGGAACCCATGACCTTGGCGTGATCAGCACCATTATAAGATTCTTGAACAGAGAGTCGGGATTCCTAGGCTATAAGCAGGGAGCAGCACTTGATGCCAGCACCTGCTCAGCAGATTCCTTTCCAAAGGCTGAGCTCTAATTGTAACATAACAAGCAGTTTTACATAGTTTTGTTATTCCTACACAACTACAGAGATAAGGAAAAACATTAGTTGGTTGGCAAGCCATGAATCAACAGATGTGAGGTGGAGAGTCCTTGAGGTGGGGGAGGTAGCTATGGGAAAACATGTTAGCTGGAGAGTCCTGGAAGGGAGAGAGGGCAGTCAGGAATGGACTTTAACCGGCTGAGTCAGTCATTTCTTGCAAGCCCTTTCCTTTGCATTTTTTTTCAGATGCCTCCTCTCCTCTCATTATAGTGATGCAAGGAAGTAATGCAGGTGGCCTTTAGAACCTGAAAAAGACAAAGACACAGATTCTCCCCTTAGAGCCTCTAGAGAGAAAACCAACCTTGCTGACACTTTGTCTCTAGCCCAGTGAAACTGAGTTTAGACTTCCAACCTCCAGAATTTTAAGACCATAAATTTGTGTTGTTTTAAGCCACTAAATTTGTGGTAATTATAACAGCAACAAGTAAACTAATACAATAATTATTTGAGCTCCGACTGACCTGTCCTGAACTGCCAGAGTACTTGGTTGGTACCAGTGAAGCAGTTGCTAACAATGCAAGTCCTGGAGACATCTTGCCTGGGTTGGAATCTCTTTAACATCTACCGGTTGTATGATCTTAAGCCAGTTACCTGATCTCTCTGTGGTTCAGTTTCTAAATGGGCTAATAATAATATCCTTCTCATGAACTTAAAAATCATGTCTCCATCTACTAGGATGCAGAGTCCATGATAACTGGGATTTTGTCTTATTCACTAAAGAAGGCCCAATACATCACTCTGTAGGTACTCAATAAATATTTGTGACTTATTGTACACCAGTAGGCTAACATTAAGTATTTGATAGAACTGGTATTAGGTGCAATGATTAGAAATTAGTAATGTCTTTCAACAACACATAAAAAAGTTCACAATGTGAGGTACCATAATAAAAATTAAAATTTTTCACGTACATATGATTAAAACTGTAAAAAACATTTAAAGAAGATTAAAGAAATAAAAATAGATATTTTATGAGTAATAGGTTATTATAATATTGCTCTATAATAAAATTAGATGAGCAATGGTCCAAAATTTCATGTTTTAAGCTAATCTATGAATGTAACCTCTATTCTTCCAGTGTTATTTTTACTTTTTAATATTTACATTTAAAAAATAAACGTCAAAATAACCAATGTGCAGCTCCCACAAAGACAAAGGAAAGGATGATGATGATGATGATGATGATGATTTTAATAAGTTCTTTCCAAAATAAAGGATGGGTTTGAATACTAATGGAAGGCCTTTAGTTGCAGCTAAAGACTTCCATGTCTTTCTTTAAAGGATAATCCTTGCCCACATCTGAAAAAGAATTACAGTCTTAAGAAAGTAAACTCCAACAGAGCACCGAAGGTGAGGCATCCCCTTGACTACCAGCGAGTCACACTGTAAAACAGTCATATCTCCATTTTACTATGGAGCCAACACAGTTTTGTAATCATTCTTGTAAAGTTAAACAGTGATGTCCTAAGTCTTCCCATAATATTGGGCAATGAGCTGCCTGCCACACCTTGTTTCTTATCAAAAACATGTGGCGGAGAATAGCAACGCCACTTTGTCCTCAGGAAATTAAAAGTTACCTATAGCTTTCTTTTCTGCTATCTTTCAAAAATAATATTTACTGCATTTTTTCCTAATGCGCAAGTAACATGTACATTGTGGGAAGTCTAAAAATACAGAAAAACAAACGGGAAAATAAAATTTATTTTTAACATCATTATACAAAGATATGCACTATTAGCAGATTGATAGTCTTCTAATAGGCATATAAACATTTTTAATATGGAGCCATACTGTACTTCCTTTTCAAAATCTACTTCTTTCACTTAATGTTTTCGCATATCATTAAATCTTTCAAAATATGTTTACTGGGTGCATAGGTTTTTATCATATGCATGTACTATTACCTAATTAATCCTATTACTGAATACAGAGGGCTTTTACTTTTTTCCCTTCCTCACAAACACTGGTGCTATGAATAGATTCATACTTTGAGCACTTCTCTAATTATTTCCATGGGATAAAGTCTGGGAAGCAGAATGTCTCTGCGTATGTGTTTCCGGGGATTGTAGGATGGGAATAGAGGGTTGGACATTGTAGTATGTACATTTTTAAGATTTTGGCTATGTTTTCTCAAATTACCTCCAGAAAGTTCTATATTTTTACATGTAGTACAGGAGGGCCTCTTTCTTCAGATTCTAGCCAATACTAAGACACAGTTGTTTAATCCTTGTCAATTAATAGGCAAGAATAACACATTGTTCTGCTTACTTTCTGTGGTTACTAGTGTAGATGAATATTGTCAAAATGTTTATAGGACATTTATATTTCTTCTTTGTCAATTGCCTGCATGAGTCGCCCATTTGGTTATTGTCGTTAATACATGCTACCTTGCCAATCATATCCCCCCAAAGTCTGATATTTGACATACTTAGACTGTGTTCTCATTTTTTCAAGATCATCATTTTATTAATAGTTAAGAGATTTTCTATTTCATGCTTTAGACAGAACTCTCCCATGGAGAAAGTAACGTGTTTAATAAATGTGTAGTTGTTCTCATCAATGTGTATTATTCAGTCATCAAACATTTGTTGAGCATCTCCTATGTCTCAGGCACGGGGTAGTTGCTGCAGACACAGAGATAAATCAGATAGCTCCTATCATCAAAAAGCTCCCAGTCTGGTATACAGAACTGTTTTGTCCAATACAGTAGCCACTGGCCACATGAGGCAGTTAAACTCTTGAAGTGTAGCTTCTCTAAATTAAGATGTCCTGTGAGTATAGAATATACACTAGATTCCAAAGACCTAGTATGAGAAAATGCAAAATATCTCATTGGTAATTTGCTTATTGATTTCAAGCCGAAATACTTTTTGTATATTGAGTTAAATACCATATATTATTAAAATTAATTTTGCCTGTCTTTTTACTTTTTAAATGTGGCTACTAGAAAATTTTAAATTACATTAGTTGCTAACATTATATTTCTGGTTTATAGCAACACACTCTATGAGATTTTCGATATGATTATCGATATTCAAAAGTTTGACCTTAAAAATTACATAAATTCAAATCTTCTGTTTCCTTATCTGATAAACATACAGAATAAAATCTAACTTTATTTGGTTGGTATGAGGCAAAACTGAGATAAATTTTCTGGCGTGTGATAAAAACAAAAACTGTTAGTTCTTTATCCGCCTACTCCCTTGCTTTGGAAGGTAAGCAGCTATGGAAAAAGAAAAGGAAACCATTAAAATAAACCAGAATGTCAATGCTTTTAAAGTTTATGCTACCAACAGTATTATTTTGTTATCTCTCTGGATGCTCTTTCATGAATAAGCTGAGAAATAGATGATGAACGAATCAATATTTGTATGGACAAACAGACAGACAGATGGTTGGACAGTTTACAATCCTACCCACAGTGCACAAGGGTTCTCTTTTCTCCACAACCTCTTCAACATTTGTTATTTGTTGACTTTTTGATAATAGCCATTCTGACAGGTATGAAGTGATTTGATTTGTATTTTCCTGATGATTAGTGATGTTGAGCATTTTTTTATGTCTCCGTTGTCCATCTGTATGTCCTCTTTGGAGAAATGTCTATTTATGTCCTCTGTCCACTTTTTAATCAGATTGTTTGTATTTTTAATGTTGAGTTGTATGAGTTCTTTATATATTTTGGATATTAACTCCTTATCAGAGGTATCATTTGCAAATAGCTTCTCCCATTTAGTACGTTGCCTTTTTGTTTCGTCAATGGTTTCTTTTGCTGTGAAGAAGCTTTTTTAATTTGATATTGTCCCATTTGTTTATTTTTGCTTTTATTTCCCTTGTCTTTGGAGTCAATTCTAAAAAGATATATTTTTTTAAATCACTAAGGCCAATGTCAAAGAGCCGTTGTTTTCTTCTAGGAATTTTATGGTTTCAGGTCTTACATTCATACATTTTAACCCATTTTGAGTTAATTTTTTTGTATGGTATAAGATAGTGGCCTAGTTTCATTCTTTTGCATGTGGCTGTCCAGTTTTCCCAATACCATTTATTAAAGAGACTGTCCTTTCCCCATTGTATATTCTTCACTCCTTTGTCATGAATTAATTGTCCATATATGTGTATG